ACCCATTATGCAATAAAAAAGATATGAAAGGACCTAAAAGAAAATATTCTTTCTAAGAAGCATAACATTTCTTTTCAATCAAAATTTTGCTAAATAGTTTCATATAAAGATAATAAAGAAAAAGCAATAAGAGAATAAGAATCATTTTGCATGATAACATGATAATCTATTTTATCACATAAATATTTTTTAATATAACCATTAATAAATATAATTATACTTTCTTTTTAGGGAATTAGTTTGTTTTTTTTAAAGAATAATTAAAAAAAAATTATCATTTTCCTTTTTATATATTGATAGAAAAAAGTCAATTTTAAAGGGGGAAAAATTATAAAATTATTTATTTATCAATTATATATATATATTAAGGAAATATGATTGTTCTGAAATTAAACACGTGTAAATAACTTGTATTTGTATCGATATAGTGTATCGGCTTTTGACTTGTAATCCTTGAAGATTTAATCGAAATGTTGAAGTTTTTATGTAATAGTCCAAAGAAAAATCATAAATAAATAAATGAATAAATAAATAAAAATGATAATAAAAAAAATTAGGTTAAAAAAATAATAAATAAATAAACAAAAGAGAGAAACAAACCCTTTTCCACTACTCTCCATTACTTCTCATGATTCCTCCAACTCTCTCTCCTCAACCCATCACTTACCTCAGAATGTCAGTTACTACAAAAATAAAAATGTTAGATCCCTTCTCCCAATTATCTCTCCTCAATCCATCCCTTAATGTCAGATTTACTTGAAGAAAAAATTAGACAGAGATTTACTTGAAGATAAATCTTATTAAATCTTCGTTATTTATTTTAGAAATCACAACCCATTATAATTAGATGTTCATTAAATCATTACAATGATTTAACTTTGAGTTAGAAACGAAATGTCAATCATTTATACGAATTATAGTAAATCATGTTACATGAGTAATATTGGATTAAATTTATATAAGTAGCCAAATGAATAGATTAAAAATAAAATAGCTAAGGAAATTTGTGAACAAAAGTAAACATGGAGATAAAGAAAGGTCGGGAATACATGTTAACAAAATTAAAAGGCAACTAAGTAAATACAGATAAAGAAAAAAAAAAGTAAAAAGATTGGGGAATTAAAAAACTTAAACTAAACATAGAGAGAAAAATAAATACACATGAAAACACAGAATAACTTAAATAACTCTATCAACTTTTTTATACCGAGTAACCATAGAAAATAAGATTTTTAATAAAAATATAATTATAGATATATAGCATTTCAAGACTTTTAACAATGAACGAATGTAAATTAGAGAAATAATTGTATAAAGTTCAAACTTGAAACTGATATCATGGACTCACATAGGTTGACTTGGATTTCAAGGGACATAATCTAACTTTCATTAAGGATATGTTCGTGATAACAACTTAAGCTAACCAGGTAAGTGGCCTTACTATCGGCATGGTTATATTTGATGTGACACGTGCCTGTGGTTCTGCACGTGTCATATATACTGATATGTGTGAATTATCTGTAAATCGATATGCTTATATTATGTTTATGTTATGTTATAATATATGAATTGTATGATAATAATTGTGGTACGATGTGTTCAAGGATATGTTTGAGATAGGATACGAGAAGGATACACAAAACGAAATGTAACGATAGGAGTAAGATACGTTCATGAAACGTTAAGGTTAGATTACATACTGGAGTGCTATGGATAGGAGAGATTGATAAAAGAATATGGTTAGGATATGGGTAGAAAGGGATAGGTTTGTGATAGATTGATAGAACGATAGCGTTATGATACGTTCCTGTGATGATATGACTAAGGTACGTTCACGTAACGATATGACTATGATAGGTATAAGAACGTTAAGGCTATGATAAGTTAAGGAACGATATGACCACAAAGTGTTTACGATAGGACATGTTTATGGTACGATATATTGTGATGTGATGTGTTATGTTTAGATTGTTTTGTGTGACTAACTGTTGTATGACTTACATGTCACATGACATGTTAAAAACATGGAGCTTTATGTTATGTTTTCTAAATTGAATGTATATAGTATGATATGAATGACATGATATCACGATAAATGAAATGAAATATAACCCCGTTAAGATTATGCATGATACGTAGACTGAAAAATGAGAAATGACATGTTAAGCATGAAAGATGATAGCGAGATTATATTCATTAATGATAAAAGTAGAAATATTGGGGATCTCATGCATTATGTGTGCTCATGCATTTGGGGATACCCCTATTCCATCACGAGGGTACGGACGCGTACATCCAATGGCAGGACAATGATCGTTATGTTTTGCATAGCGTTGCCGTGACGGTTACTAGTTCTAACGGGTGTTCGGCCTAAGGAGCTCCCAGAGTATGCTCGCCTGACAAGGAAAGTGGCCCAACGGTGTGCGAACTGACTGGTGAGCCCATACTCGCATGTATGGGCTGTGTGTAGAGTATATAGTACACGTCCAAATTACCCGTTAGGGCAGCACCGTAGGAAAATAGATTGAAAGGATAGGTCATGTCAATGCATTTGCATGTTCTTGCATTTAACCTCAATAGTGGGGTGATTACTGAATATTTTTTTAAATACTCAAGTAATGTGCTACTACATTTTTCAGCTTAAGGCAAAACATTTGTGTACGGCTAACAACGGCATTGCAACTCGAGACCATGGCACATGCATAGGATAGTAGTATTTATTTTCTTAGACTTAGGCTAAAATATGATGTTTTTAACTTAAATGCTTATTTGTTTTATTTAGTCTTTGTGTTGTTTTAAAGATGTTTTCGAAACACGTAAGTCTATGGCTGTTTTTAAGATAAGGATATGTTTTATGGAATTTAAATGAAGTCTTCCGCATTCAATGTTTAGGATATGTATACAGTAGTGACTTTAAATTAAGTAGAAAATTTCGGGTCATTACATTTTGTGTTTCAAATGTCTTCAACACTCTAGGAATGGTTTAAGAAGATCGCAACGTCAGCCTTGTCCCTACCCTACACTCAATGGGCTTCAGAGTTTTGTTAAGTTTTCTTAATCGTGTTTAGATGTTTTGGTAGTTTACTAGGTTGTTAGGAGTGTCTAAGCGGATTAAATCTCATCTCTCATTTTCAAGACGTTCGGGGTTAGCTCCTTAGGCTAAACCAAACTCTAGGTGCACACAGGTCTGATTGCTCACGATCCTGGGGTGCAAGGTTTACTGAAAACATATTGAACAAGGCCAACATGTAAACCACACTAGTTGTAACGCTCTAATCTTAACTGAGTTCTCTTGTGCATGCTTTGCTAGGGAGATATTTTAGTCGATCACCTAAGCTTGTAACACATAATTTCAAAATTTATATTAGTCATATCTGGGAGCTGAGGAAATCTACTGGGTTCTTAGGGCAGCTAGGTGGCTTAATGTGGACTTCTGATTCTAGGTTGCTCTGTTCTGACACATTGAGTCGTTCTTAGTCTAGGAGCACTAGGGTCCAGGCTCTCTAACCGTCACTCACGATCCTAAGGTGCTCAATCTACTAGAGGTATTCTGACCTATATAATCATCTAGCCAACTTAACTCTAACGCCCTAGCTCTGTATGTGGAGAACACCCGATCAAACACCTAGAGCTAACACATACCATATCATGCACACAGACAAGTCAACAAGCTCAACAAGAAGATAACATCCCTCAATTACCCATAGCACAGATCATAATAACCCATCCTTCTTTCTAATACAGCGGAAAGCACATGAAACAACATTCCTCACAAATCTTATCGTAGGGACATTTTGGTAATTTCTTACCTCATGCATAACATACTCATCCATGATGGACAACATATATTAAACAATAATTCGACTTTACAATAGAATTGGACAACATATATTAAACAATAATTTAAGGTCTCCACTTATTTTTAGAAATAATTAAGTTTATTTTTTTTATTATTTTATTTACATAATAATAAGTAGACGTAAATAGAGAGATGTTTATTTAATCTGCAAGGTTGAAGATCTGATTCGAACAGGTGTAGAATGTCCGAGTGAATGGAGAATGAGTGGAGAGATGATAGAGAATTAATGCTCAAATCTCGTAAAAATAAATGAAAAATTTCCGAGAAATGAATATTGAAATAGAAGATAAGGGCAGGCACGAGAAAAGTTTTTCTAACCTCGACTCGTTCCATGAACATACTGCCCGAAAGACGACCGATCAAAGGAATTTGGTCACATTTTATTCATTCACATGGGTGAAAATCTGTCACTAGTTTTGCGATGTTGGATTTTCTAGCTAAGTTGAATTACTTGACTAGATCTAGGAGACCGACAATTTTGCTTTTGATTTGGGGGAACCCAACTGCTTTCAACCGAGATGGGAAAAAACATTGACCCGCAAACCTGTCTAAAAAGTGAGGTGAAGACCTACGCTCCTATTTAGGAAAGACTACTTTTCAAGCGGAATCAGACTGAATATCATAGTTTTTGAAGTGGCTAGATCAATCAAAAAACTCAGCGAATAGTCTCGTCTGACCTAGGGTCGCGTCGAGAGCATCGTCTTTGGAGACAATGTTCAAAGGGTCAACATAAAATTCCTCCCTCAGTCACAAAGAGGAGGCATATGAGCTGAGGTCGAGACACGATACCGAGATTGAATCAACCACCATAGTGTCACGACAACAGATTTCGAGGACTAAATTTTAAGTCATCCGTGCGACAGTGCGCATGGGAGGCCAACATGTGCCCCCATAGGTGAAACTGCAGAAGGATCATTGTGGATGCCTTAACATCAAACGATCCGTGAATGTGTTTGCAAACTTTTTGTGTCAAGGGGAGCATTCGTGCCCCCTCTAATGCCTAAACCAAACTCGGCGCAAGTCGTGCCAAGGAGTTCAAACCAGTAGGCTTGCCTCTTGCCCTGGTCTCGATGTACGAGGGGCAAACCATTCTTGTCGCATTATTCTATTAAAAGCTACCTTGTGAACAGAGGATCATGACATATTGAAAGTTCACCCGCAACGCCGAGTCTGAGAGAATATCCGTACTCTCATTTGATTTGCAGACGGTGGGATGATGAGCGCGAGAGATGAGGAATCAGAGAACTACGGAGATTATTCGGCGCTGCGCACACATTTCCTTCGCCGTCTCTGGTAATGCTTCTCTCAACGCTTCTTCTCTATTTGCCTGTTCTTAGACGCATTTGAATTAGCCTTCTTTAGGAATTACTGTAAGTTTCAGTCAGATGCAAGCCATAAGAATTCATCTGATATGGTGATTTAGCCTGTATAAGACTTGCGGTTAGTATCATTTTTCTCAGCCTCCGCAGGAGTGAATTAGAAAAGGAAAAACGTGGTAGAATAGGGAAAGATCTGGTCGGATACTATTTTTCTATGTTGTTCAGTGATATAATGGCTGATTTAGTGGCAATAGTTTCAAGTTTAAGCTTAAATTTGAACCTGATCATGTGATGTGTGGAACGCCAACTTGGATTGGCAAGGGAATCACTTGCATTGCATTTGCTTCAAGCTGAACGGAAATTATGACCGATTTCGTTCTACCTGACTCCTGCACAGATTAATCACGTCCTTTACGAACAAGACGCTTCCTCCATATGGATAATTTTCAAATTTTCAAATAGTTTTGGTAATGATTCTTGTCATCTATGTATGTACTGTCTTTTTAACTTGATGAAAATCATTGTATGGCTGATTGCCTCAGAATAACATTTGCATTTATGATCTCAGGAAGATAGGTTAAGAACATTAAAGCACCGATCAAGAACAGACCGACAAGTTTACATATATTTTCAAATTTCATGCCTTAGTTTAGTGCTCAGACGATTCTCAAAGCACAGAAACTTTAGTTCATATGTGGAGTAACTTCTAAACCATTAATAACGTTTGCTTCTAATGTCACTGTACAACAATCTTTATGTTATTAGTTGTATGTGCACACCTTGCTTTTTAGGATGCTTATTATGAAATTTTCACCAAGGACAGGATGCTCTAAGAGCTCTGTGGTATGCAGCTTATCCTGATCAAGAGCGTCAGGCGTGGTATCAGATCAATGGAAAGAAATTGGATGGCAGTGAAGAAATCCATCGACTGATTTTAGGTTGTTAATTTGCTACATGAGTTGAGGGCTCCTTTCATTGCTCTGAAAAGCTTTTACCTAATCCGAAGGATCTGGATTTATCTCTTTGGAGAATTTGCTGTTCTTAAGATCCTAAACTTCATTTGATACCTCTCATAAATTTTCAGATTCTTTTCACCTGAATGGGCCAACAAATTTATGAAATTAAGTTCAAAACTCCCAATAGATGACCGAGTATAGCATGCTATTACGCCTTTACTAATCCTTGTTGCCTTTTTTATGGTTTCAGACATCTTTCCAACGTCTGTTAAGGAAACAAGGAAGAAAACCAGCTGCTTAGGAATACCACTTTGCTTTTGCTGGTGTAAATATCACATTTATGATCATGCAAATGCTCGATCTAGATGGTTGTGAGTTGAAAATCCATTTCTGCGTAGTGACAGTTCACCAATGGAGCATCATTGCTTAATATTTTCTAAGTAGAGCACTGCCGTTTTGATATTTTATAGAAACTTGTATATTTTTTGAAAGAGAACTAAGGCAGCTCACCTTTTCAAATGCAGCAAACCAAGGACTTCTATCAGATCAGTGTTCCTTCAGATGTTGTCAGGTACATATCTAAACTTAATCCAGGAACATATCAAATATGAAGTTGTGCATGAATGCAAGAAACACAATTTTCTGATAACAGAGAATAATTTCATGTTGGAATGCCTAAGCTACGTGATGTTCTTTGTATCATTACAAATTTATCAGTACAGGTAGGTGATTTAATGTTGTGGCATTGTTCATGTAGATACTATTATGGATTTTAGTACTGGGAAATAGGATCTGAAGAAATTAGTTTTATAATTGCTTCTACATTTCACTTCCCCTAACGATCACAAGTTCATTCTTCAGCACAAGAATGGACCAATATTTTCCTATTGTTGAGAAGTTTGATTCAAATCTGAAGATTTCTTGCTTAATTTTCTATGGTTAACAATTATTTTTTTTTGCGAACATAAATATCTCATTGGTTAAATTAGTATTCCTACCTATTTTCTTTAAGATGTGAGATGCTATATTACAAAATGGCAATTATTGTCATTTTAATTTGGTGTAAATCCTATTTTGGTTTCTCCAACTTTCAAGTTTATTCTATTTGGTTATCAAATTTTCAAAATATTCATTTTGGTCATTTAGATTTATTCTAGGTTGATCCTGAGCTTTTAAAATGTTTAATTTAGCCCTATGAGATTTCTAAAAAGATAGGTTCGAGGATGTATACATGTTAATATAAACATAATTTCAAGTCATATGAGATTTCTAAAAAGATAAGTTTGAGTATGTATACATGTTAATATAAACATAACTTCAAGTCATATGAATCAGGAACAAATATTTGACAAGTTGATATTAGATGGAAAGATAATACGGTTATGACCAAAATAAACATTTTGAAAGTTTGACCAAAATGGAACTTGAAAGTTTACTAACTAAAATAGTATTTAATCCTTCTAAAATTTTCCAAATTTTGAATCTTATTAAAAAAGTTAAAAAATTATTTTGATTAAAGTACTTTTGAACTTATTTTTATTTTAGTCATTAAACTTAGTTTGAATTTAATTTTTGCCCAACTTGACAGCAAAAAAAAAAAACAGTAATGATATATATCCATTTAAGAAAAGATACGATATGAATATCATTTGAACATTTGTAGAGGAAAGATTAATATATATATATATAGTTAACCATAGACCAATTTAAGATTTAGTCAAAGTATATGAACTAAAATATCACCCAAAAAAAAAAAAAAAACAATAGGTCTGAGCATCTACTTTTAAACTCTTTTTTTTCTCCTAAAGGCTAAAGATATTTATTAAATAAAAATTTGAAGGGCATGCGGTTTCAAGTGCTTTTGTTACTGTGTACAAAGTAAAGCTTCTTTTGTCTCTTTTCCCTCTCTACTTTTTTTTCTTCTTGAATAATCCTGATGGTAGTCAATTCGCTGGAGGCTGTACTTGATAGGATGCACTACTTTCTGTTTATATTTTTTCTTTTGGGAGTTCGTCTGCAACTTACTTCCTGTCCTGCTAGTGATTTAAACTGTGATGATTGGTTCTAGTTTTGTTGTGTCCCCGCTCCTTTATGTGCCTATTATGAACAAGATTTTGCCTTAGATCCTTGCAAAAATTACTCTGTTCCTAGCAATGTGGGGTTATTGCTGCATATCCTGCAAGGAAAGATTTGATTTCGATATCTGCCGGATTCTTTTTGTGCGATTATGATTTGAAAACATATTGTTTGTCATAGATTCCTTCATTTGAAGCCTTGGTGTATAATTAACTGAACGTTATTCTTATTCCTAAGATTGCTTCTGATTACTTTACATATACGATTTGAGAAAAAAACATTTCCATATGCTTCAAAATGCATACCTTTTGGGCGTATCTAGATGCATGATTAGAGATTTAATAAAGAAAAAGTGGTAAAGAGAAACTTATTGGCTATTAAGCAGTGGCCATTAAGCTTGCACTACATGAAATAAGTTCTGGATTAAGCAACCTTTTTAATTTATTAAATACTTTGTTTCTTTATTCTGGGTGGCCCCGTACATATGGCTGCCACTTTTTGATGTTCTTATCCTAAGAAAGCAACATTTTTCCACAACAGTTCTTAATTTGACTGTATTTTACATTATACGAAGGTAGAGGAACTTTATCACTCGCCCAACCATGCACGTTCTTATCATAGCTAGCCTTTAGCCTTTCCCTATACAGTAGGATTAGGTTGTCTGGTGAGTTTAAGTTTAGTTAAAGGCTTGTGTGTTGGTTGGGGATGTTGAGGATTATTGAGAAGAGTAGTCTCGCATTGGCTAATTAAGAGGAAGATCATGAAAACACTATCTCCATTGGTACAAGGCCTTTTGAGAAAACTAAAAGCAAATCCTTGAAAGTTTATGCTTAAAGTAGACAATATTATACCATCCTGAAGGTTTGTGGTTTCTAACATGATATTAGAGTCATGTCCTTAACTTAGTTATCTCAATATAATTCTCAAGTGTCGAACAAAGAAATTGTGAATCTCGAAAATGTAGTCAAATGTGACTCAAGTGTCGAACAAATGGTGTATTTTGTTCGAGGGCTCCAGAGAAGGAGTAGAGTCTCGCTTAAGGGGAGACTGTTTGAGAGCTCTAGAGAAAGGGACCTCAGGAGTGACTCTATGGTGTACTTTGTTCAAGAGGAGGATTGTTGAGGATTATTGAGAGAAGTAGTCTCATATTGGCTAATTGAAGATCACGAGGACACTATTTTCATTGGTATGAGGTCTTTAAGAGAAACCAAAAGCAAATTCCAAAGAGCATATGCTCAAAGTGGACAATATCGTACCATCACGAAGGTCCGTGGTTTTTAATTGAAGACACCTTGGTGGTATTAGTAGTGTCAATGGACACCCTGGTATTAGTGGTGCGGATGAAGAAGATCTTGAGCACACCTTGCTACTAGTGGAAAGAAGCCTCATGGGAAGAAAGCAACAGATAACAGTCACGGGGGGTGGTCCAGCGACTGGGTTAGTGGATATAAAAAAGATTAGAATAGGGATATTATTCAAATGTAAAAGCTAGCCAGCATTCCGAATTCTGTTGCAGGGGGAAAATTCTTGATTCCTGTTAGTCGAGTTCTAATTGGTGGTCTTTGTCCCAAAATTATAATCACCAGCCTGGGAAAACCACAGGTCATTTAGCACGCCAGCGAATATGCGAGTAAGTGGGAGATTTTATATTCCCTGCTTTGAGCAAAGTAGAATCGTCATCCTCCCAAATTGAGAGATCCATTTTATATTATACAACCCAAGTAGAGGAAGCCACGCGTCTTGTTTGGCACATCCCAAGCTTGTACATATATTGGTATTGGAGCTCTTTTGTTGTAATAATATGATATGCAGTGTGGATCATAGGCCCCAATAATGGGGGGATGCTTTGTGGATGGACTGCTGGCGATTATTATATAGTGGGTGCTCCTGTCGGCTAGACTCTTCTTTTGTGCTGATTTATGTGTATTACTTATATGAGTGAGTGGGGTAAAAAGGGGCACTGCCACACAACATTTGTACGAGATGATGTAGTAACTGTGGGGCAGGGTGGCATCAAGCGGTGACATAATCATATGGATTTGACGGTTATTAGTGAATTGGCCCTTGTAAAATATATTGAACCTCAGCCCTTCACTGCTAACTTATCTTATGCTATTCTCAGTAGTATTGAATCCTGCACTAATGGATGTCATTGTGATTCCACTAAATGAGTTTCTGTTATATATGTCCCATTTTACCTTTTTTTTTTTTCTTTTTTTCTTACCTCTAACTCTTTAGTTGAGAGTTTATAACGTATCGGATCAGCGTGGGATCTATGAACGTAAGTATCCTAATTGCTCGTTGCCTATTTTAGGTAATAGTGGACTTTCTATTAGTTATTGGTCTAATTTTCTCATTTTCATAACATTATCTTCCTATTAATATCAATTTCTCTTATTTTCAATAGATGAAAGATTATTGGAGCAGTCGTCTGACCTTTTGTATCAGGTAGCATACACCAATTCATGTGCACAAAGGTACGAATCCTAGACGTTTATTAATATATATAGAGAGAGATTTAGAGAAGTCTCCATAACTTGCCCAACCAATTCATGTGCAAAAAGTTCTCCACTATTGATTTTATTATTATTTGTTCTACAAATTTATTGGTACATATTCAAAAATGTAGTTCAATTTATTAGACATTTAAATTGTTAAAAACCACGACTCTGTGTAATAGTATGATAGTCATTTTTTATTTCCTCAAAAGATTTCAAACTAATAGAGATATATTCATTACTTATAAATCCATGATCAACCTTTTAATTAGCAGATATGGGACTTCTCTTTCAACAATCCTCCCCTCGAACAAAGTACATAATAGAGCCTCTCCTAAGGCCTATGAAACCCTCGAACAACCTCCCCTTAATCGAGGCTCGACTTCTTCTCTATAGCCCTCAAACAAAGTACATTTTTTCTTCGACACTTGAGGCACTTTTGACTACACCTTCGAGACTCACAATTTTTTTGTTCAACATTTGAGGATTTTATTGACATGGCTAAGTTAATGGCATGACTCTAATACCATGTTAGAAACCACGACTCTCCATAATTGTATGATATTGTCCACTTTGAGCGTAAGCTCATGGGTTTGCTTTTGGTTTCTTCATAAAACCTCATACCCATGAAGATACATTCCTTACTAGTCCACGATCAACCCCTTAATTAGTCGATGTGAGACTCTTCTCCTAACAATTCTCAACATAAATCTCCGAATGATTCATCCTTATAAATGTTATTAATTCCTTTAATAGTAAAATTATCTTCAAGTTGGTGAGGCAAATAATCTTTCTGGCTAGAATTAGAAATGACCGTTTGGTTTACAAAGTGAACTAACTCGTCAGCTTAACAATAAAAATGGAGGGCAGATGTTTTGTCCAGAAGAACCCAAAAAAAAAAAAAAAAAAACATTGTGATGTGTAGCTTTACAACCTGTCCTTTCACTTTACTTTCAACTTTGTGAATAATATTTCATGTGTATCCCAAATAAGTATAATAAATTACTTGTTTTACTATTCATTATTGTGTTATATATGTGTATTATTATCAACTTATCATATTGATTAAAGAAATATTGTCAAGGACTTAAAAGTATCAATCCAACCTAACCAATGAAGCTACATGAATCCTCTAATCATGAACCCGAGATTAGAGGACCAATTAAATAGATGTTTTCTGTCTATTGTTCTGCTCATTTTTATTTCTGACTTTTAAAACATCCATTTGGGTCGTTGTAATTTTAAAAAGTAACCATTTTGATACAACAGTTTCGTTTTAGACCTTTATTTTAGTCCGCTTTTAAAAAGTCACAATTTTAGTGGGTAATTTAATCTTTTTTATCATAATTTTAGGATAATTTACTTACTAAGTTTGTATTACAAGATCTTTTTAGTTTGAATTTTGCTACGA